TAATGAACAACGCAGCAGCGCCACATCTAGTGGCTTCAACTGGATAGGCTAACAAAAACATTATAATGCAGCGACACTTACATCGTCATCGCATCTTGTGCATCACTGATAAAGCTGCCTGATGCACACCTCAAATTCGAATGCAACGTTTTTGCATTCGAATGTGGATTTTTATTTTAAATTCGCCGAATATTCACTTTTTTTTTTGACAGCCCTAATACATATATTCTTATTCTGTGACGACTTATTTACATTATGTGATAGATTTTTTAATGTTGTGTACATTTTGGGACTTTTTATTTAAAAAAAAACAAAACAAAAAGGTTCTATCTACACAGTCGAATGGAATGCAAAAACTTTGAAGCTCAATATCTCAAAACTACTCGGAATGCAGATAGATACTTATAACTCCAAGGGGACGAAATTGTAATCAATATGCCATAAACCATGGTTAGTACACTTTTACTATAATAAAACCATGGTTAATGAAGAGAATGAACACGAAAGAAGACGCAGAGCAGCAAAAAGGAGAGCAGCAGCGTTAGTTTCTGCTCTGATTAGTTTCTGCAAAAATCCACCAAATGCTGAGGGCTTGAGTTAGAATCAGGAATGGAACAAGAACATTGTTTATTTTTTGTTTTTTTTAGTTTCAAACCAGACATACAATTTCAGCTGGCAAAGTTTAAATCCTGTCTTGCTAGTGTCAGTTAGGTCAGTAGGCACAGAGGAGGCGTCGTCAGTGGCTGATCGAATGCATTCGACATTTATATTATGAAAGCAGTCCGTTCAAATGTGTTCATAACTTTTCAGACCCCGTTCACACCTGTGTTTAGTGTTGTCCACATGATCTGATCGACAAAAGCACATCTTAATACCAGGGCCTTATGGAGTATGTTTTTTGTAGTACTAATATAGCCCAACTAGGGCTGTCAAAAAAAAATGCGAATTTCGAATATTCGTTGAATTTAAAATAAAAATCCACATTCGAATGCAAAAACGTTGCATTCGAATTTTAGGTGTGCGTCAGGCAGCCTTATCAGCGGCGCACGAGATGCGATGACGATGTAAGTGTCGCTGCATTATAATGTTTTTGTTAGATTATCCAGTTGAAGCCACTAGATGCGGCGCTGCTATGTTGTTAATTACAAATATTGCGGGAAAAGAGAACATCAATGCAGAGAAGATCTTGTTTACATCAAAACTGAAACCAAGCCGTTCACACAGAACGCATATTTTGCGCATTTTCTAGAGGGACATCTATCACCGTTGCACTCGCGAGAGCACAGAAGAGCCGCATGTTTAGAAAGCCATGTAATATTAATGCAAGTTCAACTTTGAAAAAACATATATCGAGACTTTATGGCGGGTTTTTCCCCATCTCACTGCAACTCGTGTTTTTAAATGAAAAATGTACTCTGTGATTGGCTTTCGGCCCTTTGTATTAAACTATGAATACATAAATGATGCTGTTTTGTTTATAGTTGTGGCCTCAGGAGAGAAGCCAAAAGCTATTCTTCACCCTAACTGAAATTATGCATTTTAAATTCGAATATAGTTTTTCAGCCATTTTGACAGGCCTAATCCCAACCACCTCTGTGTCTTTCAGCTGTGATGAGTACGTGACTCAGTTGGATGAGATGCAGAGGCAGCTGGCTGCTGCGGAGGATGAGAAGAAGACGCTGAACTCTCTTCTCCGTATGGCCATCCAGCAGAAGCTGGCGCTCACCCAGCGGCTGGAGGACCTGGAGTTCGACCACGAGCAGACCCGCCGCGGCAGAGCCATCAGCCGCTCCAAGCCATCGGCCGGATCCTCGCGCGGGAAACCCACCCAGTCCCACGTGAGTCACCCTGCCGCCGCTGCCACCTGTGGGGGTCGAGGCGAGCCCAATGGCCTCCTGGGAACGCCGGTGGTGTTCTGCAGCGAGAAGTACAAGATCTACTGCGACTGAAGCGGCGCGAGCCTCGTCAGCCGTTGTACAAAGTTCCACTCGCGCGCTCTCTTGCTTGCTGTGTGCTAACCTATATGATGTGTCCGCTAAATATGGTCATGCCTGCTAGCGTCCTCGTAGCCAGGTGCATGTTGTAGTGCTAGCTAAGGGCAGACTGATATAACGTTTAGTCTTATAGGTGTGTTTCTGCTAGCAGCATTAAACCGAATTGCACTTGAATCTTACAGCTCAAGGCAGCGGCTGTGCGCGCTTCTAGATTAGACGTGATAGAGAGAGCTAGCCATAGGATTGTTGAATTGTGGTCACAAGTCGATAGCCATTCGCCCTTGTCCTCTGTCCATCTCTCTCCTGCCTCTGAAATCAGCAGCCCGTCCAATCAGGGAACTCGTGTTCACATGCCCGAGCAAACGAAATATGCAAACCTCCTCCCTGCCTCGTTGACGTGCAGGAAAACCCTTCGGATTGTGCCATTATTGTGAGAAATCAAAAATAACATCAAAAATGAAAATCGATGGGTTGAAGAGTGTGTGTGTGTTTTAGTGATGTCACTCGTGAGGCAGGCGGGAACGACGCATCTTCATAAATCAGTATGCGCCACGAAGGCTTGCTTTTTCATTAGATGTCTGGCTGCTGATCTGAGAGCTTTAATATGTCTTAGACTCGATTACGTTTACTTGAGCACACACGGCTTCACACGGTGAAGTCATGGTGAAGGGCTTGCCACATGCTCAGTGCTGTCAACGTTCACAAGCTTCTTTGTGTATTTCCATTGCAGATGAAACATTAGAGAGGCCTTATCTGTCGTTTCTGTACTCTTAAATAGCGTGGCCGTCTCATTTCAGCACAAGAGGACAAGCCAATGCCTCTTTTTGGCAAACAAACGATTCAAAGTTTCATGCTTTCATTCTCTGGCTTGCTTAAAACATTTATCCTGAATCAGAGACAAATAGGGTTAATGCCTAATTCCTAGTTACTCTCGACCTTTGCATTAGTAATCTGTATATGATATGAAACTCTCATCTCCATATAGATTCCTTTCACTCTTTTGTGTTTGCATCACGTGAAAGATTGACACAACTGAAGCAGTGGATGCTAACTAGGGTTTTTAGACAAACTGAAACAAAAGTTCATAATCTACTTGCAAGCTAATGTCGATTCATGCATTAATACATGAATTGCTGCAAATGGGTTAAATGAATGTCTTCTCGAATCACTGTATTTATAAAGGAAAAGTGCAGCACCACTCACATTTCAGGAACTCCAAATGGCAGTGGCAGTGTTAAATAAAACAAACATTATAAAGATTACATGCATCTTTCACATTCTGTAACTTGTACATTCTCTAGTCCAGTTGCTCTAGCAAGGACTGCTCCCATATGATCTAGTGGTCTGGATTCCTGGTTGTTACCCATGCTCCCGGTATGGGACGGGATGCCTCTGGCTCTGCCCACTCATCAGATTATTGACCTTCATTTTTTAATTGAATTGACCTTTCACAGAAAAAAGAGGAATGTCTCATGTGGTTGACATGTCTCTCTTCAATCCATTTTTTCCCCTAATGCATAAGTCATTAAATCAGTTTGATCAGCAATGAAATTATTACCAATAAGAAATGAGCTGTCAGGTGGACAGTTGGTCTGTGTTTCGCCAAGAGGTGTGTTAGTGAAATGTTTCGCCATTGACCGTTCAAAAACTTTGTACAACTCATTAACATTCACTACTTTTTGTGGGATCACCTGTTGAGGTTGAGGTTTTTAGTTCTTGTGAGAACCTCTGGCTTCCTGCATCCTGTACTTCTCTTCCACACTAACTAATAAAACCTGTAACATGGGCTGTGTTTGGCTTCTGCTGACTAACCCGCCGCTTGAGCTGATGCAGCCACTGTGTAACGCTAACCGTAATGCTAACGGCTTTTATTTCTTTGCCCTGATTTGCAGTAACGTTCAGCCTGAGCTGGAACTCGACATTCCACCACTTCCCATAAACCCAGTGCTCCCAAACCAGTAACCTGTCTCGGATGTATGAGAGACACTGGATGGCTGCCTTTATTTTTGGAAACCATTGGAAACTCAAACCTTTTATCGTTGTTATGCATTATACACTCGGCGAATGAGCAGGATATAGTACATTTACATTCACAGAAGAACATTTGGGGGTTCTTTTGACACACATGGGAAGCCAGAGGTCACAATGTCCTGAAAACTTTAACTCTTAAAAATCAACTACAAAAAAGAAAATGGGCTAATGTTCTTTTTCTCAAGACATTCATCTGTGTTTTGAGATTCTGTAACCTTTTCTCTTTTAATGTGGGGTTATATCACTTTTTATTATATCGGTCTATAGTTTGAGGCGTTCTGGTTTATGAGTCTGTTCACGTATTTTACACTACTATTTTAATAGTATTTGATTTCATTATGTACGTCCTCTGTAAGCAAAGCTCAACGTCACATAATCCATATCTACTCCAGTTCTGACATCTTTATGAAGTGAATCCATAAGATTATTCATGTGTTTTAATGAAATGTTGTTTCTCACATTCACACATTTTAATGCTGGGCTTTCGTCTATATAGGAATATTTCAAAGTGAACAAATAAAAAAAAAAAGTGGCTTAATCTAATCACAAGGCTTTGGTTAAACAACCAGCAAATCAATAAAAACACTACAAAATTGATTTTTTCATAACACTTCACAATAAGGTTCAAATAACAATAAACAATGCAGCCATTTATTAATCTAGAATAATTTCTTTATATAGGAATATGTTTTTAACGTTGTATAAATTAACATTAGGTTAATGTATTATGAATTAACAATGAACAAGAGTATATTCATATATTACCATTAACCTGGATGAATTAAGATTGTTCAGTTCACTTATCGTAAGTGTTTGCAATTTTTCTTTCGTTCGTTTCAAGCACCTTCGTGGGTCACTGACCTTCTGCATTCTGTACAAGAGGAAATGAATTAATTCCAAATTGGAATGCTGTAATTCTCTCTGTCTATCATGCCAAGTGTCGGTACATCGTTTGGGTTGGTGTTAAAAGGATCAGAAGCGCTGAGACGAGGGTCTGCCCTGCTTTACCTTACCCTCAGTTTGGTTCGTTTTTCGTTTATGATCTTCATTCTGACCATTAGTGCCTTTTTGTTCTTTGAAGAGAGAATCCTAGCTTAGCGTTTAGTTTTTGTATTTTATTTTTCTCACTCCTTAAGGAAGAGCAGCAGATGACTTGTTCTAAACTTAGCAGCAGCAATAAGTACAGAAGACGTTCATTCTGTTTTCAAGTGTGTGAAGAAATCAATGATTAGAGAAATAAAACAGATTGTACTGAATTTGTCAGGTCAGTGATCCTAAGAGCAAATTCAGGGGTTTTAGAAAACGTTATGTTTCGTCAAATGGTTTGAAGCCAGAATTATCATTTGCCTCGATATGAACAAACATTTTGAGACACGAAACCTGTGTGGTGTTTTGTTGTCGGAGACTGGTGTTATTCTAGCTTTGTATGGTGAGGTAGCTGAGGTCATGTGATATCGATAGTATTGTTAACAATTGTGAGAAAGCTTGTGTCCTCTTTCTGTCCAATTGTTTTGTTTTTTTACATTTTTATATGAGCATTACAATTTCAGGAAACAGAAAACGTTGCATCAACAAGCAAATGGTGCCACGACAGTCACATTTTGTTTGTTGAGGCATAAAAGTAATAAATACAGTCAGCAAGTGAGGAGGAACTAAATTAAGTGCAATTAAACCAAAACGAAGTTATGTGGTAACTGAGGTTTTCTGTTTGCTGGAAGTGATGGCATTGTGATATTCAACTAGCTGTGGAAGCTTATTATTGGAAACTCTTATTATTGTGCTCCAGTATTGATCTATAAGGACCTATAAGTTTGATACCTTTATATAAAATAGCATTTGTTTGTTTGTATTAATTTGTCAGTACTGAACTTTATAATGTGCATTATTATGTCATATGCATGTTTCTTTCGGCTATGAGACTTGTACACGGAACCGAAAACAAACTTAGAACAAAAGTAGACAAACGACAAAAAGAAGAAGAGCGAGTAATGTTTGGTTTTGAATTGGTCCCTTACTCTTGAACTAACTGAGTTGAAGTATTGTTTTCTAGAGGTTTGTCTGTGTAGAAGTAGTCATGCTGGCTCAAGTCAATAAATACAAATAAAAAGTCACTCAGCGCTTGTCCTGTGTGTGAATTTGTCCTGTTCTTCTGTTGTTTGTTGTCCATTTGTCTCAGGACTGTTTGTTCTCCAGTGTAAAAGAGACAGTTTCCCAGTCCTTTATCATTATCTGTACATGAAAATTTCAGTGGTTTATTGATTTAATGGAGGTATAAGCACAGTTTCATTTATGCTTGAATATCCGTGTTGGCACAGCACTGGTAGTAACTGATTACATTAATCTGGATTACATAATCAGTTCCAAAAGTTAAAGGGATAGTTCACCCAAAAATGAAAATGACCCCATGATTCACTCACCCTCGAGGCATCCTAGGTGTGTATGACTTTCTTCTTTCAGACAAATCCAGTCGGAGTTATATTAAAAAATGTGCTGGCTCTTCCAAGGTTTATAATGGCATTGAATGTGTGTTATTTTTCAATAGTCCAAAAGAAGCCCTTGTGATTAGATTATATTACGTTTTAAAATGTTCATGATCATATTACAGTTAGTTTTTATAGATTACATTACATAACATTATTCAATGGCAGAAAATTAATCATTTATTGATTCACCCCCATTCTTTCTCTCTTTTTTTTTTCTTTTACATTTTCCTTTCTAATTGAACCTACCCCTTATTTACAGTTTGGGAAACCCTGCTGTAATGTAATATTTAATGCATTTCATGATATCGATAATCAGTAATGGACTACAATTTGTAAGTAATCTACCCAGCACTGGTTGTGAAAACCACCATCCTAACTCTGGTTCTCAATAAAGGATTGAAAGTGATGGTAACCCTCTTGCAAAAATACCAAGGTGAAACATTGATATAACAAGGGTTAAAGGGATAGTTATTAGCCCATGATTCACTCATCCTCAAGGCATCCTAGGGGTATATAGCTTTCTTCTTGTAGACGAATCCAATCAGAGTTATATTAAAAAATATTGTGGCTCTTCCAAGCTTTATAATGGGAGTGAATGGGTGTTGTTTTTCAATAGTCCAAAAGAAGTCCAATAAAGTGCATCCATCCATATAGGATGCCTCCTGAAGCGAATCGATGCGTTTTTTGTAAAAAAATCCATATTTAAAACGTTATAACCACTTTTCTGTAGCTTGTGCTAACTGTCATACGCGGAAGCCATTCGGGCGGATGACGTAGGATGTAGGCATAGCGCATGCGCCAGTGAGAATATGCTAGTCTCGCGAAAACCAACGTTTGTTTACAGGAGCAAAGGAAGCAAAGTTTCCTTACTTTAGCAAAGGAAAACCAGTCTCCTCTCGGCTTATATCGAAATCCTCCGACACTTTTCTTTACAAATCCTCGTTTTGTACTAATTCGTAACCAGTGTTTTGTTTTGTTCTGTCCTCTCTGCTTCCACATTCGTCACTTCTCACTGAGTGTGTGTGTGTGCACGGTGCGGTGCATCGTTTCGCTACAGGAGGCCTTTATTCACCTCCCGGAGCCGTGTAAGGCACCTTTATTATGGATGGACGCACTTTATTGGACGTTTTTTGGACTGTTGAACAGAAACACCCATTTGCTGCCATTATAAAGCTTGGAAGAGCCAGGACATTATTTTAATATAACTCCGATTGGATTCGTCTGCAAGAAGAAAGTTATATACACCTAGGATGGCTTGAGGGTGAGTAAATCATGGGGTAATTTTCATTTTTGGTGAAGTATCCCTTTAAAAGTTGCCTCAGTGCAGTGTGAAAAGCTCTTTTGTGAGTAAAGCCTGAAGTACAGAGCCTAGTGAGGAAAGAGCCACCGGTAGTATTATGCCAGAGGGGTCCAGGAGCCCATGATGCCACTGGAAGCACAGCTCTCTCTCACACACACACACACACATATACAGTAGATGTGCACTGTGGAGGAATCGCCATACTGACCCAAGGAGGGAATCCAAAATTTTCTTCTTCAAAGTTGTGACTGTGACTGCCCTGAAGGAGGTTATTAAAGCATTTGGTGACACGTCTTCAACACTGTCAACCCTAAACTCCCATCTCGTAGTTGACAGAACTGTAATGTTCATGGCATCGTCAGAGCAAGTGCTTTTGTTCACAGCGACTGATCCTGTTCCTCCTCTCACCTCTACTTTCCTATAAGACAAAAACTGAAATAACTAAAAAGCAGTACGCATGTCCTAGCGATGTACTGAGCAGCTAAAAAGGTTCCTGTTACAACTCAAATTAAATCACGAATGTTAGCCTACAGATGATTTGGGTGCATTACTGACCAGGTCGAATGTTAGACACCATGCCTCATTCATTTCCAGGGGACAAGCTCATAAAGAAAGCAAAGTGCTCCAGTGCTTTCCTGCATCAGTCCGCTGAGGTAAGTCGTTTTTATTTCATCATAATTTGTCTTAAATCAGTCAAACTGGGCCAGCAGTTAAAGTTGCAATGAAACAGAAAGTGACAGATCTGTTTTCCCCCATTCCTTCTTCGAATACTTAAAAAAATAAGTAGTGAGTGAACCTTGTTGCTGTTTTAAATAATTGGTTGTTTCATGATTACTGTTTTGCTTGGTCATATATAATTTTGTCTTGTGTGTTGTATGTTTTACTTTTCTAACTTTTTCTGAAACTTTGTACGGTCATTTTGGCCAGGACGCCCCGGAAGAGGAGATTTTTTTTTTTTTATCTCAATGGGACCTTTCTGGTCAAATAAAGAACAAATAAATAGTGTGACAAAAAGTCAAAATTATGACTAATCCTCTGTTGGGTCGTGGCAATGCTGGAGCCCATCCCAGCATCTCCAGCCGAGGAAAGGATGTCCAGAAATACAAGTCATAGTAAGTTGAAATGTTGTCACAATTGTGAATCTTTAACTCATAAGATGAAGTAGAAATTACAAGAAAATTATGTCAAAATTTAGGTCAATTTCTAGAGTTTGAAAATGCATCGGTAATACGGCTATATAATATATTGAGTCTCTTCTGAGAACTGAGTGTTGTGGATGCTCAAGTTCATACCAGAGAGCTGATGGATGTATCTCACTGGTAACATCTCATTTAAATGTTTTATTATCAATATCCATAATGTAATTGCTGTTTAAAAAAAGACACAAAAAAAACATACAACATTGGATGCATGACTGTTATGAAGTAGTCCGTCTCAATCCACGCTTTCAACTTGAATTTGCATCTCCAGTAGAGCTGTGGAGACTCCGGTCAAGAAGCAGATCCCTTCATGTGTAGTGATGAAGATCAGAACTGCAATCCTCTCAGAAGAACACCGAGGATGAGGACTGTGCTCACGAGTTTATAAGTGCATGATGGTAGTGTTTTAATAAAGACCAACACATTCTGCATTGTGCTATTGGGATTTCATTACCCATTTTATGAAGAAAAAAATGCATTAAACTTTTTTTATTCTCTCACTCAAACTCACACTTACAGGCACAGCTGCATGTCCTCATAATGAAGAGGTAGAGACTTGAAACCTGCACACACACACACACACACACACACACACACACACACACACACAATTTAGAGACCAGTGTTTTTTTTTTTAAACACAAAAGCAGTGTCTGGTCACAGATTCCTTCACATCAGGTCTCTAATTAGCAGGGCTGTGCCCGAAGCCGAATACCTTATTCAGAAAGGCATGGATAATGGCTATATAACGGATAATTCTGCTGAATAATATTTGGCTGAGGCTGGCATGGTCACTCCTGGTGTTTGCTGGATAACAGGTGAGCCAGGGGATCAGCGCAATATTATACATAAAACTCTAAAGTCACTACACAATAATGAGTGTGAAGTGAATGAATGTAAACTTTATGAATGAAATGAGCGCAAATCAATCATTGCTGTTGCCTCTCCGTGCATCTCTCAGAAATCAGAGCTTGGCAAGAATATCAACTAAAATACAACATCATACACATTCTACTATTTGTGTATATTTAAATGTCAACTCAAATCTCCTCCTGAAGATCCCGAAAAAGTTCGTTGGTGCCTCAGTTCACTCCAACAAACTTTTTCGGGATGTTCAGGAGGAGATTTGAGTTGCATTTACCTTATTTTAGCACAAGCCTCTTGTACGGCAATCGGCAGACAAAAATTAGAGCAGTCAGGCTAATTAAAAAAGGTTCAGGTGCATGTGCTTGGGATCGACTCAGGTGGGCAGTATAGTGTGGGCAGGACGCGGCTCCACTTCGCTCACTAGCGCAGACTCGGGTCCCAAATCAGCACAATATATCCGCGCCCTATTGGGACACTGGCGGCTTCACTTTTCTTCAGTGGAAGAGAGTGAAGGTGCGTCGTCCATTTTTTTAGTGTCTATGGCTCCGACTGTTAGAAGACATTTAAATAAATATTCTAATCATAAAAAATAATTATTACAGTTAAACACAGCAAATTTGTTCAGTGATAACTACGAAAAAGGCTGTAAAACCATAGACATAACTTCCAGTTCAAGCCCGCATACTTCCGGTTTTATCCGTATTCAGATACAAATAAATTAGTGATTGTTACAGATACTGGCTCCGCTGCACATCCCTACTAATTAGCATCACACAGGTGGCTAGGGACCTTCGTTTAGATGTTCCTGAATGGTCCAGGCTTGAAGAAGGCCTCCCGCGAAAGCAGCCTCAGCAGCGTCTCAACAGTCTGCAATGTGGAAAGGAATATAGATTAACTGCTGTGCTGTGAAAGTTATAAATACTTAGTAAATTGACCATCAGGCCATTTGATTTATATCCTTTACATCCTGATGATCATAAAGGACTACCTGGTTTAGTATTCTTGTATTTTAATGATCTACTAAAGTTAGATTACTGCATTGTGCGCCATGATTTACTAAAAAAAGGCTGTTGATTCTGAAGTTGCTTACAAAAATTATATATATCATTTGATCATTAGGCAATCATATTAGTCACAGTAGTAAATGTTAAAAAAAATGCAAGGTTAATGTACTGCTTACTGCTCATCTCTCTCTCTCTATATATATATATATATATAAAAGCTTACATAATTTTACTTTTAAAATCCAAAGGACCTTATACCTGGTTTCGGCCACATTTTCTCCTCTAGAGGTGTGTGGATGCAGTCAGGGAATATATCACTGTTGTGATGGTGAACATCTTCCACATAACTGGCAATCCAATGGACTTTGCAACAGCTTCTTCTCATCTTGAAGGATGTGCACCAGAAGAGGAGGTTTATGATGCTTTTTGTCCAGTATGGAATCTCTCCACATCCGCGCTTTCCCAAGAGCATCATTTTTCTAATTTAATGTCCCCCCCCCACTGTCACTCATATTCAGCACTGTGTGACTTCCATGTTTGGCACAATGTCTAATGCAAAAAAAATAAATAAATAAATAAAAAAAATAAAAAATTATATATATATATACATATACATACATACATACATACACACACACACACACACAAATACAACAACAAAAAGTCTATACTCCAAACCCCTTATATCACCCCCAAGACTATATGCTTTTCAAAAAAACAGGTCTTACGGACTACTACAGAGAATTAATCACCTTTCATGGTCTTCTGTGATTTCAGGTTCATACTTAGGTGAAATCCTTTGGGTCTGTCAGGGTCATCGAGGATCTGTCGTTGAAATCCTCGATGCTTTCTTCCATTCGCGGCCGTTTCATTGGCGTTGATGTGCGCTCCGGTGTTTCCAGATGGGCGCAAACATTATCAGCATGCTCTGAAGACTTCACTTGAACAGCTGTTTCATCACACCAACAAAGGAAGAAAACAGAAGTCACTTAAGTACTTAATGTGCGCTAAACCTAAGCTATTAACGACCTAGATGTCACCTTTACTACGTCGTTTCGGTTTAGGGGTTGGGAACGAGGCTTGAACCGAGGTGCTCTTTTTTGGGGTTTGAGCGGTACACTGGCAGCCCACATCCCGTGTCAGAGGCTGTCGGACAGACGCGACAAATGCCCGATCAGTAAAGGCTAAAACGCGTGTGGTATGCATTATTAAAATAAGCACGCCATCTAGATACACTTACCTTCATACTTTGTGATGCGCCAACCGTTTACACCGACGGAACAGCGGTGTTCTTCAGATACAAGACCCTGGCAAACCCCATTTGGTGCTGGGTTAAATCCTGGAAACACTCGGGCGTGAAATGCCTCGAGCACAGCCGCGAGTTTACCGTTAACCCTTCCTCTTCAAAATGCAAAAACTCAAGCCAGCGGGACCGTAGCCAAGGTGGACGTGGGATACCGAAAAGGGTTTTGTTCGACAAACAGCCGAAAACACACCTCTTTGCCATTTTTGCAATCGTCACAACTCTAAACAACTAATGCGGTTGTTATTCTTCTTCTAAGGTTTAAATGGCGTCTGCAAACCAGCTTAGGTGCATTTCCGCCACCATCTGGATACTGCGTGGAGCGCCGACAGGAGAGGGGGAATAATAATAATAAAACGTAAATCCTAATATAAATCCTGGTAATCCTGTCTGGGACCAGTTTTAAGTAGATTTTGCATTGTGATGTTAAGCACACATAGTAAGTCTTTAAAGGGGTCATGTTATGCTTTTTTAAAGATCATTATTTTGTGTATTTTGTGTAACAGAATATGTTGACATGCTTTAATGTTCAAAAAACACATTATTTTTCAAATACTGTACATTATTGTAGGTC